ATTCTAAATGATATCATGCGGGACCTCAGCATGTAACAGCAAATTTAAAACCACCTGAGCTTGCAATGATATCCCAGCGGTACATAAAGATCTATGAAAACATATTGTTAAAGTAACGATAAATGTACCAATACTAAAGACAGAGGTATGTCAACTGATATTTCTTGCAGACGTTTGTGATCTAACAGATAAAAAAGGTATATCCAGGAACGTGACCAAGAGACATAAACGATATGGTTACTTATTTGTTATATGTCATACACAAGTACAGCCCTACGGGTGTTGTACACGAGTACAGCCCTACGAGTGATATACACGAGTACAGCCCTACGGGTGTTATACACGAGTACAGCCCTACGGGTGTTATACACGAGTACAGCCCTACGGGTGTTATACACAAGTACAGCCCTACGGGTGTTATACACAAGTACAGCCCTATGGGTGTTATACACGAGTACAGCCCTACGGGTGTTATACACGAGTACAGCCCTACGGGTGTTATACACGAGTACAGCCCTACGGGTGTTATACACGAGTACAGCCATACGGGTGTTATACACGAGTACAGCCCTACGGGTGTTATACACGAGTACAGCCCTACGGGTGTTATACACGAGTACAGCCCTACGGGTGATATACACGAGTACAGCCATACGGGTGTTATACACGAGTACAGCCCTACGGGTGTTATACACGAGTACAGCCCTACGGGTGTTATACACGAGTACAGCCCTACGGGTGATATACACGAGTACAGCCCTACGGGTGATATACACGAGTACAGCCATACGGGTGATATACACGAGTACAGCCCTACGGGTGTTATACACGAGTACAGCCCTACGGGTGTTATACACGAGTACAGCCCTACGGGTGTTAAAGTGTCTGGATTAGAGATGAATTGCTTTATTTCAGAAATAATTAACTCAATATTTTAATGTGAAATCTATTTTCAACCGGAAAAGTATATTGCACACCTGAAATAAAATAATATGTGATAGCAATATGTGAAGGTAGAATAATAATTGCTTCTTTTGGTTTCTTGTTTAACGCCTCGCTCAGCAATACTCCATGTAACTGCCGGGCAAAAGAAAGAATACACTTGAATACCGTATTTGACCAAAAAAAATCAAACGTTATCAAAACGTTACTGGGCTGAAAACGGTCGCCGAAAAAATGCAAACTTAAGGTCCCAAATTATGATACCCGTATCAAATACATCAAATAAAACAAAACAACTATACATCTCAGTTGATTTTATCATATGTTTGATTTTCAATTGAAGAGGTAGCGATATTGTTTCCAGAAATCTTAACTCTATTGGTGGATTGTCAGCGCTTAAAGAATATTTCTGCATGGTTATTTAAAAAAAATATAATTTGATTTAATATTTTTAAAAATAAGACAATTTTTTCGCACAATACACAACTGTTGTTTGGTATCTGAGACATCTTATCTTTGAAAATCAATAAATTTTCCGGCACAAATTTACAACATTTCGAATATGGTAGTGGTCATATTATATTTGAGTATGGCCTACAGTAACAATAGGATCTGTTCTGTACCTTGTTTCAGAGCAACATATCAACCACGTCTACCTTCTGCACAATATACGTGTTCTTGAATTACAACTACACCGTGCGATCATTTATAATCTCATGTGCTGAGTTTGTGCAGTACACATAATGCTTGAATTAGAGCTAAACAGTAGCAGCAACATGGCGGAAATGATTGTGAGTGAGTGAGTGGGTTTGGGTGGGTCTGGGTAATGCTATGCAAACCTGTATCATTGACCACACATCACAGTTTTGGCTGAGAACATTACATGGCATGTGCACCTCAAATATGGCCCAACTGTAACGTAATTTCTACTTCACACACACACATCATGTACAAATAGTCTCAATCCATTTGGGTGAGTGGGTGAATATGGTTTTACGCCGCTTTTAGCAATATTCAAGCAATATAACGGCGGGGGACACCAGAAATTGGCTCCACACATTGTACCCATTTTGGGAATCGAACCGGGGCTTCGGCGTGACGAGCGAACGTTTTAACCACTAGGCCACCCGACCGCCCCAAATCCATTTGGAGGACGACCCATTGGACAATTACTTTCAATTTTTTTATGGTAGCCAGTGCAGGACATTTCCAAATTTGACGTATCTGTGACAAAAAGTTCTTGTTTTGACTTGTGCCAGATGTCCCCGTGTTTTTAAGGCGAACGATTGACTTGCCTGTGTATGTGTTTGTGGCATGTGCCACCTTATCGCGGACACTTGGTATTAGTCTTGCACCATGACCGTGGAATATAAATCTAGAAATGCATACAAAAGCAAGCCCAGCCAGCTCAAGCTAGCTCTATTCCAAATGATCTGAAATAAGCAAAGGGAAATGTTTTTTTCATTTTTAGAGTCAAGAAGGATATTGTGTAATATAAGATTTCAGAGACTAAATGTTAGTCTAACCTGGTATCACCACTATTTGAAAGTGATTCATAAACACGTGCTTATAACACAGTGGGAATCGATTGATATGAATATTGAAGGGGATTGTCGCTTTTATTTATACAACGAATGCTAGACCAATGTGAAAATATGAACATCGGTACAGTGATGTCACCTTGTCCGAGGAGTCAATGTTTGTTTTGTGCTGTGTATTTTGAAACAGTTGTATATGGGCGGATCCTGGCACGGGTAGGGAACCCAGCGCTCGGGGGCACTCGAGACCAATGACCCACTCATAGTGTTAACAGATTCGTTTTCTCTAAGTGAATCATACATGTACTTGTGAAGCAGGATCAACCAAATGTCCTGTTTAAGTTAGTGGGTGGTGGGGTAGCCTTTTGGTTATAGCGTTTGCTTGTCACGCTGAAGGCTCGAGTTCGATTCCCTACATGGATCATACGTCGTGGGAAGCCCATTTCTGATGTTCCCCGCAGTGATATTGCTGGAACATTGCTAAAAGCGGCGTAAAACCTCACTCACTCACTTCTCACTCACTCACTGGTAGGTACGTGTAAAGCGTCGACAATGTATGCACTAGACGCTTTCGTTAATTTATCAACTGATTTCGCTTATTATGCATGTACATTTCAGTCAATCATTCACTGGTTACACTCATCTCACAATCATTACATATCAATCTCAGTCAATTATTCACTGGTTACATTCATCCCACAAACAGCAAATATAAAGAGTCAACTCCAGAGAATAGCCAGTCTCGATTATCACAAAAGGGTTCCACAATAGCTGTGGAAGTTATGTGAATGGACAACTGAAAATAACTGATGACACCAGGTGTTCTCGAAAATATTAAGTTTTACTTTCCTGCCCTACCGGAGTCCACCATTTACTGGATATAATTATTGCATAAAAAATTACCTGCCAATGTCCGTCAATTATTTACTGATCACACTCATCCCACAAACATTACCTGTCAATGTCAGTCAATCATTCACTGGTTACATTCATTCCTCACATTCACATTTGAATTATGTCAATTCAAACAAGAAACTTTTCACTTGTAATTGTACACAAGACCATTTCATTTGAACCAGGCTGCCTCACTAATTCACCAAGGTACATTCATGATGGCCACGCTCTTCACTACATCAACACTGTGCAGTTTATGCTTAATGCAATCAAGTTATTTCATACCTTAGGGTACCGCCTCCGTGGTCTAGTGGTAGAGCGTCCGCCCGGAGATCGGAAGGTCCGGGGTTCGATCCCCGGCCGCGTCATACCAAAAGACGTTAAAAGATGGTACTTGTTGTTACACTGTCTGGCGCTCGGCAATAAGGGGCTAAAACAAGGACTGGTCGGCTCGGAGTCAGTATACTGTGTCTGAATGGGGTATCTATGTTAAACTGCGGCATTGTATCTCAGTGGGCTAGCACTATAAATCGGCATCAGTCCGGACTAGTACAAGCAGCCACACACACACACACACATGCATGCACGTCGCTATATAAGTGCAATAATCTTGGACGCGACGTTAAACACAATTTCACCTCACCTCACCTCATACCTTAGGCATTTGTCTCGGGTCAATGTCTCGTGGCTCACGGACACAGCCTTTTAGAGGAATTACTTTTTAACTGGGGATTAAACTACTTTGTTATCTATAAAATCATACCCCACCGACACCCATTAAGTGATAAAAAGCATTTTCATGTTGAATTTATGACCACAGCCTTGGAAATACCCAATGATACTTCAGAACAAAAAAATAATGTCGTTGCCAAATATTGACATGAAATGGGGAGTAACGTGTTCATTAGTAATATGACCAAGTATTGATTGCAAAACAATGGGGCTTAGTTGGGTCTTGCCCCAGTGCCTATTGATTTTGGGCCAGGGTGAATTTGTCTGCGAGCGCTCAGCGTCCCATGCCATCTAACGATGTAATCTCTACATCGGGTGTCACAGCGGGGTAGCCATGCACGCTGAGGATCATCATTCGACGGCTCTGATGACTGCATATCACATCGGACGTCTTTTAATGGAATATCCCATTTGTAGAAAGGGTTTTGTTGTTTAACCTTCAGGAGTAGTATCAGTTTCACGTTTGCCTTTGTTGTCTGTGTTTTGGGGGGCAGTAGACATCGTTAATGGATTTTTTGACTGAGTCCGTTTTATTGGGATTTGTAATCATGTATTGATATTATCGAAAAGCAGAAATATAATTCACACAATCGTCGGTCTGTGATTTTATAAGCCATTTCTTTTGTTTTGGCATGATGCGCACTTAATGCAGCGGAATATGCTTGAATATCCATACACATTGCTTAGTACTATTTAAGTAAATAGCTGTTTAATCAAAGGGCGATACTGTGCGTGAAAGTATGTCTATTCATATCGCTGTCTCTCCGCAAATGTCCATATTACATCTTGCATCTGTCATCTCTTCACATTGTGTTCTTTGTATCAGAACAAATCTCAAGTTATCATGTTCATACGCCATGTACACATGAACCTCTTTTAAGAGAGCAATATTCGTTATCCAGTGTTTAAAACGTGTTTTTTATTCAATGATCGTTCTATAAGAAGAGGTCGATGCAATTCGCTGTTATGTCCCATAGTCGTACCAGGGTCCTCTGATCGTGGGTTTGAATCCAAGATTCGACATGATATTAATGGGTCTTATAGCACCAAACACGTGCTTGTGGGTTTCGCCAAATGATAAACGATTAAATTTCACTTTCACTTCACAATAACCCCATACGCTTTAATATCAAACTGATAAACAATCAAACTTGATCGCTCACTCCTATTGGTCTTCAACCAAGTTGAACGTAGAGAACATTTACATATAAAATAAAGGCATACCTGCCTGTCATAGAAAGGTGGTCAACTTTCTTTCAACCGTGGAAGGAACGTTTATCCGTTTTGTTTGTTTGTTGCATTTGTGATGTTCCGCAGTCTGTGATGTTCAAGCTACATGCCGGGTGCTGGGAGTAAGTCAAGGTACTATGCCACGCTACAGGTTAATGGGGACCTATTCTAACCCGGACTCCCAACTGGCAGACAAGTACAGGTTAATGGGGACCTATTCTGACCCGGACTCTCAACTGGGAGACAAGTATAGGTTAATGGGGACCTATTCTGACCCGGACTCTCAACTGGGAGACAAGTACAGGTTAATGGGGACCTATTCTGACCCGGACTCTCAACTGGGAGACAAGTACAGGTTAATTGGGACCTATTCTAACCCGGACTCCCAACTGGGAGACAAGCATATTTTAGCAGGGATCTATTTTGACCCGGAATCCCCAGGGGAGACACGTACGCGTCTTATGAACAAAATGACAAAAGATACAGTAAATGTCTTTAGTGTTCAAAACTGTAAAGCTTCATGACAATATTAAACATTCAATTGCAGAGTTCATTCAGTTTTGTTAATTACATCAGTATGACTATGAGAACAGACCAGCAGATTCTTGTCATAATTACAGTGGAATAATGATTAAGGCCGGACCACAGGGTCCCAATCACTGGTACGACCTTGTGAAACAAGTCGACTAAACTGTCGGGCTAAAGAAAGGAGTGTTTCGACGACTGTTTCAGCCTGTGTTCAACGTTTTGTACTGTTATGGTCAAATCTATTTTAAGTGTACGTACCTTCTTTTGCCCAGCAGTTTATTTTGGGTCTCCTTATTGTTACAAATAGTGCCACAGTGAAACCCTTTTAACACGGACCTCGTTAGTCCAGAAACCCCCAAATCCGGACGATTAATGATGGGGACGCCTACATATATACAGTGCCGCTTGAACAATTTTACAGTTATATCATGGCGTGGCAGCTTAATGTGGGAGGAAAGCCTGGAGTGTCTTTTAGCACGGATATGGTGCTGACAAACCTAGAAACAAATTCAGGGCGAATCTGGGATTCGAACCCACGATCGTATATTTCTGGTGTACAAAAGGGACGCAACTCGGCACAGCGAATTGTTGCGACTGGATCATACATGCTCCCAATATATACACAAACACAAAGGTATAATACGTCATACAGTTGATCTTAAGATCTTAATCAGGAGTATTTCACTGGGAACAATACAGTGTTGATTAACAGGGTTTTACTTAGAATGGTTTCATACGGTTCCAACAATGATTCAACTTCCTGTAGTCAGACACATTAACATTCACAACACGATTGACCATTTGTAGAAAAGGATTAAATGTTGCAGTCATCACGGCTTATGTACATGGAATATAGACGCAAAGGCTCATAAATACAGCAGATGTATAAACGCATGTTGTGTACTTTCATAACAATCAACACATATTTGTGCTGTGTTTTGGCAGAACATTCATTCATTTTCACATGCACGATACGAATGAAAGAGATTGTCCATAAACATTGTTATTTTATACCTTTACAAGGCTGTGAAATTATCGAAATTGTTAATAGATATTTGGCAATTATGTTCCAATGTATTGAAAATAATAGCCACATATGCGCGCAGACACATGAGTTTTGACATGCAGTCTTCAGCTTCCACTTGGACAGGGTTTAGCTTGTACAAATTGTACAATGGCACATTCTCAATTGGATTCTTAAGATATTGTCTTTTTCCAATCATAACCGTGGATTCGGCTAAATGTTTTTATCAGGTTGACCTTCACCTTCACCCATTAATTTTCACCTGAGCTTGACCTTGATCTTCATTTAGGTCAAGACCTCTCTGTCACATTCTCGAATGGGTTCAATAGCACTATGCAAAAAACCTTGTGACAGTGAAAACTGAGCTTCTGACACTCAACTCCAGTGTTCACAATCACTAACCATCAGTTCGCATAGCGAACACGAGCCACGGGTGTGGTTCCCCTATCAAAATTGGACCTAAACACTGGTGCCTGTGCTAGGAAACGTAAGCTTCGCCTCTGCCGTTCGTCCCAGAATGATTGGCATAGACCTGTATCTCCGTATTTCTGTCGTACACGTCATTCACGATCGACTCATCCTTGTCCATGTCATCGTGGTAGGTAGCTGTCTTTGTCTGTAAACAAAAGTGAGTGAGAGAATGAGTATGGTTTTACGTCTCTTTTAGCAATATTTCATCAATATCACGGCAGGGGACACCAGAAATGGGCGAAGCCGGAATCGAACCCGGGTCTTAGGCCTGACGTGGGTAAAGTTCAAAACATACAAGTGTTGACATGAACAAAATCTAATATTCTATCAAATGAACACATCTGGTAACTTTTATCACGATTTTTAAAGGTTTTGCAAATTTCATAAATTATACAGATCGTGTGGGTCAAAAGGGGGCCAATCACATGCCCCATGTCTTATTTGCCATGACGTGTATGGAAATTGATCCCTGTTTAGATTCATTAGCTCACCTTTTCCTGAACACCAGGTGTCATCACTGTTTGATAGTGATTCATAAACACATGACCCTAATATAGTCGGAGATTTCTTTCAAATATGGAAAAGGTTTTGTCGCCTTTATCTCGTCCTGGGCGTAAATAAAGTTCTGTTCTGTAACAGCGTGAATGCCCCACGGAGTGAATGAGTGAGTGAGTGAGTGATTTTATTCCGCTTTTGCAATAAACCAGCCAAACGTGAAAACCTGATTCACACATAATGGCTGTGCAGGGAATCGAAATGTTGAATCAGATCACACCGTCGCCTATGTGCTACAGAAGGAAAATGTTGTCATTTAAATGAATTGATGATCATATCAGTATAACAAGGGAATATCTCCACAGGACTACATTGACACCGATGACCTGTGGAGCCAAACGGTACTTAATTGTAACCTTCACTGGTGATAGGTGAGGCTGGATCATTATACTGGAGATGAAAGACGATAGTTGCCAATGGTGTTATTATGGCCCATGTTCAGACACAAAGAGGGACTAATTCATATGACCTAACTGAGGAGGACTTATGTTGGAAGCGATTTCATATATTTACGTCAATGCAAGAGACAAATCACTCTTGGTTATCCGCCGAAACAGATTCCAGTTGGTTTAGATGACTATGACAATATGACAATACTATGAATGGACCATTGAATCAGTGATGACACAAGGTGTTCGCGAACAGGGTAAGCATGTACTGCCCTAACAAAAGCACCCGCCATTCACACAATTTGCATATAAAGTAAGTATGTATTGCCTGACGCCGCACAGCAATACTTCTGGCATGCGACGACGGCCAGAAAACAAACCAGACAATCAAGTGATCGATGGAGCAGAATATTATTCTTTATCTGGATTCAAAACTATTGTCGAAGCCTTGTGTTGAAACAGTTCGCTCGTCACGCCGAAGCCCCGGATTTGATCCCCTACGTGGGTGCATTGGTCGAAGCCCATTATTGGTCCCTGATAGTGCTGAGATTATGCTGACGGTGGTGTTAATCACTACTCACTGACTCACTTCAGATCTGGACTAGATAATCAAACGGTTGACACCGTGAGTCTCGATCAACGCAATTGGGATATGATGACATGCATCAAGCAAGTCAGCGAGCCTGACCACCCGATCCCGTTAGTCGCCTCTTAGGACATGATGAGTTGCTGAAGATCAGTTCCTACACGGATCTTCACGGGTTCACTTGACGTAGGTGCATGGTGCTATATATTCGTATAGGGAACTACTATGAGTGTTACTTTTATTATTATTGTTATTGACTGAATGAGACATAACCTTTTTCATTCTTGGCCTGGAAATACAGAACTTGACAAAGCAGAGCATCCCGGAGATCCCGACCCCGCCAGCGAGCACAAGGAACATGCCCGCCACGTTCTCCACGTCCAGGGACTTGGTCTTGGCGCTGGCCCGGGCGTCAGGGCAGAACTGGGGTCTCCACCATCTGAAACAGAAGCGTTATTTGGGAGATGAACTTCATGTGTTTCCAGTTTTCAGGTTTTAATGAGTATTCAATGCCAGGCAATGTCATTTGGAACCGACGGCACTTAAATGGTGTTAACTGGAGATTTCCAATATGGAGATTTCCGGGCATCAAATACTCACTAATACCCGCAAATCTGAAAACACATGTTCATCAACATTGTAAAATACAAAGGTTATTAGAAATTATCCTAAGAGGTTTCAAATTTGGGATTGAGAAATTATTTTTATCGAGCATTCATACGCAGAGGAAAATCGAACAAAATGCCTGGATTTACTTACACACTCACATTCACTTTACAAATGTGGTTAATGGTTAAAATGAATATCAATTCATCAATACACAACACCACGGTTCTTATTAATTAGCTTACGGATCCGCGACCTTAAGAATCAGGAATGTGGATGTTTCGGTTTAACGTGTGTTTTAAAAAAAATGTTATATCGTTTATAAATTAAAAAAATACACAAATTGTTTCCGAGCATGACTGAGATAAGTGGTATAGCTCACACTGACCTCTAGTTGTTTGTGGAAGTGCTATATATAGGATCGCGGCTGTGCATGTGTGACTTTGTTCCTGTGTGAACGCTATACATGTTATAACAATCACATTTCACACAAAAATGCCCAAAGTAAATTAAAGAATTCGTATTTTTATTTTTCCTTATCCTATCAACCCTATATTCTTACCAAAAATACTAATAGAAGAGTCTGATTATATTTTCTTTTCGACCACCGACCAAAGGTTTGAAACACACACACACACATCAAAACAACAACAACAACTAAACAAACAAACAAACAAATAGAAGTGGTCATAGATATTGATCTTAAATAAAATCAAATGACAGCCTATCAACTCGGATTCCTGGGGACACAAAATTATCTTTCTATTCTATATCAGAGCATAGTACAAGGATTCAGCCATAAAATTAAATCGTCTCAAAAGACATTTCGAATTGTTGCAGCCAGAGGTTTCGCTTATTATCCCAGCTATAATCTGTTTTATCTATTTTAATCTGCTGTTATAACTGAAATTCATATCGGTATAGTAATATTATGACAACATGCGTAGTCATGGTCTCCCAGACCGCAAAAAATAAATTGAAATGTACTTCCAACTCAACTCTAGAATGATTTGGCGAGTCTAGTTGCCTCAGTTCTTGGGTTATATATCATATTTTGTAGATATATATATTTGCGATTAAGAGATCTTTATTTCTGGGACTAAATGTTGGTCTATCTTGAGGGTACAAGGCAAGAATTGTCATACGACCTTGTCCATTTAATTTTAATTGGGCGCAAGTCGAGACAGATACGAACATGATCAGCGCAATACAGACAAACATTACAGTTATGAATTCAACCATTTCAACCATGAATGTGTACAGGTTTCGTGAAGCTGAACCTGTGCGACGTGGTACGAGTAAAATACGCTACCGGGCAAAAGAAACTATACACCCATGTTTGATGGTGGCTAAATATGAAACAAACTAGAAATTGTTATTCGATGGTGATGGATCTGATACGGGCACCATGGTTGTGTTTTGACCTAATGTTTGCTGTGTTTCGGCAACTGTCGTTATCTTTCGACATCTCTGTAATGTTTTGGTCAAATCCAATTTTCAAATGTATGCTTTATTTTGCCCTGCGGTTAATATTACAGTAACAGTAGGTTCAAACTTCTCAATGTCACGAATGAAAAAACCAATTGTAATTGAATTTCAATTTGTTTAATAAAACTTTAGTTAAACTTAGTCTCGCATTTTATGAATATTAATTTCAATTTTAACTAAGAATCATTGATGAAATTTTGAGTGGACTAACATTATAATGTCATATTCTAGGGAGGGACAGAATAAGCCATTGCTTAAACCATCAGCACATTCCTACTCTGAAAGCCGTAGAATGTAAAAGAATTCATGACTCTCTTTTCAGGACTTCAAGAATTCTAGCCAAGAATTTCTTTTATTGCAAAACCTCAAAATTATTTCTCCCAGTAAAGTCAGGAGAAATATTTTTAATTCACTAAATTCACCGAACTCCCCACCACCTTCCCCAGTCCTCGAAGAATATGAGATGATCAGCACCTAATAACACACAATACTTACTTTCGTTCAATGCCGTACATGACACCCTCATCAATGAGTCGAAGTATCGCCAAGGTAATAGCTTCACCAAACTGCGCATTCTTCGTGTATGCTATCCCATACCCTTTCAGATCAAACGGGTGGCCGATCTGCATCAGGTTACAGTCTCCAGATATCTCATGGGTTATTGTAGGTGAATCCCATATGAACGCATACCGACCAGAGTTGACCCTTTCAAATCCATCTTCGACTCTTCTGACAATCGACTGTGGGCGTAGCGCGGACATATGTGCCCACATTTTCTGATAATCCGTCATTTTAGTATGTCTAAAGAAGTACTCAATTTGGCTACCGTCCACGGTACCGTATTCATAATAGTCTTGGTTTGCTAAATCAGCAGCTGAGTTGATACCAACATTGGAATTGGTAATTGTCAGAAAGGCTGCCAGATTGGCTGTGTACAAGGATATCAGGATGAGACAGAAGAACCACCACGCACTGGCCACAATACGACTTGAGATTGCATGAGGAGCTCCGACTAAGCTTCCCCTCAACAACGTGCCCCAGATGTACCAGAAGCTTTCCCTCAGGTTGTAGGTGTACTTCTGTTGTCGGTCAGAGTTAACCCTACTGACGCTGAAGAGCACCAAGCTGACGATGAGGAAGGAGAAGAAGATGGCGATCCACACCTGATCAGTGAAAGGGGACAGGAACTGGAATACTTTCAGACCTGTCTCATCTGGTTTCTTTATTACGACGGTAGTCCCTTTCGTCATGAACGGCTTTGTGAAATCAACAACTTCTGATCTAGACGGCGTGACTTGGAACGGAGCAAGAGCCACGTCAGCTTCCTGAAATTACAATAGGGTATTGCTTATTGCGGTCATTATATCAATTAAGAATACATGTGAACTGTTTAATAATGGTGGATCAAGATTAACCTCAAATAGTCCGGAATCGTGCTGTTTTGTCTAGTCAAGAAGTATATTCATTACTAAGTCATAATCTCATTTTAAAGATTTATTTAAGAAGGATGTTTCCAGAATAACTTAAAACAAATATTAACATTATTACCGAATGTTACGTGTACAATATAAAATAAACATCAATTGCCTTATCGCACACGGTCGGTACTTCAGTGAGAGCAGAACATGCTCACAGCGAGCACCTGGTGTCATGTCTGTAACTTAACAGTGATGAATAATGTAGCTGTTTTGAGGTCTCTTCAATAGTATTTTCCTCTTTTCTTTTTCAGCGATGCAAAAATTATTATATGGATGTTTTATAAGTAGGGGTATTTATTTTCGAATCTTTGTCGCCCAGTGGTTAAAGCATTCGCTCGTCACTCCGAAGGCCCGGGTTCGATTCCTCACATGTGTAAAACATGTGAAGCTCATTTCTGGTGACACAGGCCGTTATATTGCTGGAATATTGCTAAAAGCTGCATACAAATAAAGAAGAAACCTGGATAGAAGTGACAAATTCATAAACCTTCACTCGAAACACACACGAGATGCTGAAGGTGACTGACAACATAAGAGTCAGTGAGTATGGTTTTATCAATATTCCAGCAATATCAAAGTTGGAGAAACCAGAAATGTGAGGAATCGAACCCGTGCCTTCGGCGTGACCAGCGAACGCTTTAACCACTAGGCTACCCCACCGCCCTCACAACATAAAAGATATGAAAAGACGTAACTACTGTACAGTTATTTGACCTCGTTACAAGTTTCCGTTGCTCTATGGCTAACAATTGCCGATGCGAGTCACGAACCGACGTAGATGTTGCTTACATCGTCTAAGAGTTGTCTGACCATGCCTGTCCAGCCATACGGCTTCTTGCTGCCAAACTTTCCATCAGGTACCAAGGAAACGTTGTACTCAAACTGGAGTAGTTTACTGACTTCTTTAATGATGTCAATCAGATGCCCCTCAAAGTCCCCGGTGTCTCGGTTCCGTTGTACAAACGGCGGCTCCTTAAATAATTAAAAACTCTTTATAGAAAACTTGTATATCGTATTTCGTTATATTCTTAGAGATTCTAAACTCAGAAAACCACGCTACCAATTCATTACCTTCGTTATAACACAATAACCGTTCATCGGTGGAGCAGGACACTCTTACCGTTTTCGAGAACACCTGATATCATCACTGATTTTAAGTGATCCATTCATATAATTTTCATCACTATTTTGCCTTTCACTCCCAAATTGAATGGAAACGGTTTCACCAGAAAAGTGATACTGACAATTTCTGTCATTCAGGTTTTGAATTTACCGAGGAGGGGACCCGTGAAGATCCGGGGCAGAATAGGTCTTCAGCAACCCATGCTTGCCGTAAAAGGAGTGAGTGAGTGAGTATAGTTTTACGCCGCTTTGAGCAATATTCCAGCAATATCACGGCGGGGGACACCAGAAATGGGCTTCACACATTGTACCCATGTCGGGAATCGAACCCGGGTCTTCGGCGTGACGAGCGAACGCTTTAACCACTAGGCTACCCGACCACCCTGCCGTAAAAGGAGACTATGCTTGTCGTAAGAGGCGACTAACGGGAACGGGTGGTCAGGCTCGCTGACTTGGTTGATGCATGTCATCGTATCCCAATTGCGTGGATCGATGCTCATGATATTAATCACTGGATTGTCTGGTCCAGATACGATTTTTTACAGACCGCCGTCATATAGCTGGAATATTGCTGAGTGCGGCATTAAACAACAAACCAAAAACCAAAACCAAGTGGGAAATGGTTTGTACAACACAGGGAATAGTTATTCGATGGTGATGTATTTAACACGGGTATCATAGCTGTGGTTTGGACCTTAAGTTTGCCGTGTTTTCGCGACAATTTTCTACCTAGAAACTCTTGATCACGTTTGTAATTATTTTATCAAATCCATATTTCAAGTGTATGGGTTTTTTTGTCCGGCAGTTAGGTTATTTTGAGGGTATTGGAACAGCTGGGAATTGAAGCATGAACTATCTCTAAAGTATGAAGCATACCAATATCCCTACCGAAGGTTGAGTAGTATAAAATCAGACTGACTATTTTGGTAGATATTCTGAGTTTTCGTGGAGGGAAGACGTTGCCCTCGAGTCTGACGCTCTTGCTGTAGGACTTGGAGGTGGCCACCCGGTCCTTCAACTTGTCGTGGATGTTTGTCCACATTCCAGTCTGTCAATGGAACAAATGTTTGTCTCAACTAGTTTTCAAAAGTAAAATCACTTTAAAAAGATGATTAGACTTCTTTGAATGCTATCAACATTGTTATTAAATAAATTAGAACTGATGTTTGCAGAAACAGAAGTCAAAGTCAGCAGAAACAAGTATGAACACACGACAGATTTAAATGTGTACTGTAACAGTATTTGTTCTCAGGACATGCAATTTGATATAATAGTTATGGAAGCATACTGTTTTCTATCACATCGTCATTACTGACCTGGAATGACAATGGTATTGGGCATCTGAAAAACTCGCTTTGGAAATGCCAATATATATCTAAGGGCCTATCTAAGTACAACTACCAAGTAATCATCATTGGCAGCGCATGTAACGAAATCATGCCAACAGCAGGTTTCAAGAAATAGTATGGTACTATACGTAGGCACACGCACGCACGCACACACACACGCACGCACGCACGCACACACACACGCACGCACGCACGCACACACACACACACACGCACGCACGCACACACACACACACGCACGCACGTAGACACATACACATATGTGTGTGTGTATCACACTCACAGTGAAACTCAAACACACCATCTCACACACACTTACACAAACGCTGACATTCACAAGCGCGCGCATGCACACACACGCACGCACGCACGCACGCACGCACACGCACACACACACACAGTCAGGGCTGGTGCAAGAAGGTAATGCAACTGTGGTAGATGGCAGCCAATGTATAAGCAGTCTTCTACTGACATTCACCTAAGGGTCTAAAGGACATGCAAGTTATGCATGATCTTGGGTGAAGAAGTCAAGACATTGGCATAAGTATACACACCAATCATGTCGTAATGGAAATTTCCGATTACGTAAGAATTATGCATATTCATTCATATATATAAAATAGTCCGTCGACAGAAAGCCTATAGTGCATCTACACTACAACTACGATACCTCTAAGATAAACAGTAAAAGAAAACTTTCACAACACTTATGTCTTAACCACGATTATTGTTGTAGGTGCAAGTGTACAAAGCACATCAGGATAATTACTTACAGAGAAATATAGTCACTGAGCATTTTAATAAAATGATGTCAGTTAATATTATAGAAAATAATGAATAAGAGCATATCGGGCAGAGTATTAGTTTGGTTGCTCTTATTCACCATTGATCTTGTTTTTACACATATTTGATGATATATCTAGTCTAAACATACTAAAATATGATAGTAAGCAGGTATGAATGAGTTATACACGACTCAACACCATGCATATAACGAGTATTGGGTGTTATAACATGTCAATACTGCATACCTTGGTGAGAACTAACACATCCGCTCTATTCGTGTACATGCATAATGCTATTATCTTAATGCTATATGCCTTATGCTCGGAAGAGGTACGTTACAGATGGCGTCCAGGAGGAAAATGAGAAGGGTTAACAGAGACAGAAAAACAAACAATAGAAGAAGTAGAGCGGTAAGGAATCACTCCATACTCCACATCTCCAGGGCTCGCATTGCGGTACACCTACACTTACCCCTAGATCCTTTCCCGTGGGTTTCGCGATCTCAAATTACCCGCTCTTGATTTTCATTAGCCAATTTGATTTGTTACCAGACTCAGTGTAACGGATCAATCAGAATGCGACTTACAAACCAGCCTCAAAGTTGGGTTGTGATATGGCGGCCATTCCCATTGATTAATATAGAGTTTGCAAGAAATTCAACAATGAAAAACTGACCGAGACTCAAAAGAAAGCCCTCAAACATATTTTTTATAGGAGAGGATGTCTTCATGTCCGCTTCCCTTATCCATATCCTTTTCCCACATCTCGCCGTTTGATTGGTCGGTAAAAATTTCATGAACATCAAGGGCGGGTCATTTGAGATCGCGAGAACCACGTGAATGTATGCAGGGGTTAGTGTGGGTTTACCGAAATGCGAGCCTCGGGGATACAGAGGTGGTAATCACTCGTGTTTACAATACATTGTAGTATGTTCAAATTTCCCGGTTTTATAAAATAACAACCTTTCTTTGTGTAGGCATACGCAAAATTATATTAATAACATAAATTTAACACACCTGTTGTATTTTATTGATTTTGTCTTTTTATTTGAATACCATTCGTTAGCGGAATAATGATATACAATATCATAAAGTATCAAAGAGAGTGATTCATCAATATGATACATTTCTTTGAAATTTTAACCAAATATATATTTGATTTTTTTGCTGAAGAGGATTCAAAAGATTAGCTTCATAAAATTAAACAATCAAAAGAATCACTTTGTACATGAATCTGCCGTACTTGATACAAGTCAAGGTATACAACAGAAAGAAGGGTCTGACTGAGGGTAAAGTGGGTCCATTCTTCGTGATATGAGGCTTCAGGGCGTTCTATAAACTATAGCAAACACTTCTACTGGCCGCGTCCACACCAGTGGAGGACAAAGCTTACATATGATGACAAGCAGATTACATCGGAGCTCTAGTTACCCCTTGTGGATCAAATGTGATTTTCCTCTCTCTGCCGTCCTTAGTTTCGTAAAGGTGGGTATCATAAAAATGTCCCTCCTGCGGGTCCTTTAGCAAAACACTTGAATATTATATCTTTAAGTGGCATTTATAGAAACTTAAGTATCAACGAAAACACAGTTGACCTATGGATGTCAACTTCTCTATTCATTCAAAGCGACCTTTAGGTAAAGATTTGTTGGGTTGTTTAACGACGCACTCAGCAATATTCCAGCTAGATGACGGCAGTCTGTAAGTAATCGAGTCTGGACCAGACAACCCAGTGATTGACATCATGGTCACCTAGTCTGACCACCCGATCCGATTAGTTGCATCTTACGACAAGCATAGGTTGCTGAAGACCAATTCTAACTCGGATCTTAAGGGGGTCGGTACAGTTGTATCTTTATAGAGCAAGCGATATTACCGTGTCTACCCAGTTCGGGATCACATGCTTGATAAAGGTACTAGCATCCTTACCAAAAGGTCGTTTTGAAAATATAAAGAAGTTGAACTTCATAAATCGACTCTGTTTTACTTGAATGTTAGAAGCAGTCACTTGCCAGAATCTCTGACCGCTGTAGAACATATATTCACCATACATTCTTCAAAACCAGTGTCCTCTCGTGATACAATTTCAAAAAGAAATGCTTAAGGATTTTAAAAATCAGAAATGTAATTACAAATAAAACAAAGACGATGAGTAAAACTAAATCTACAAACACTTCAAATACAACTAAAACATAGCAACGTACAAAAATAGTCTCTGTTCTACAACTTTTTGAAAGTAATAATATATGTATTTCTAATACACTTAAGGAACTTATGCTATTCTAAGCTACACAATGTCTAGAAAACTATGTAAGTAAAAAAAAGGTAAATATATTTGTGAATATGATAGTATACACCGTGAAATAAAACTGGTCTGATTATTAAAAGAGAATCACCTGGTTAGTTTTAAAGGCTTGTAAAGTCATTAATTGAAGATATTTCTCTGACCGTCTCCCTCGCCCATTGAATTCCAAATATCCTGTACAGCCGTGAACTCGTCGCTGAAATAGATTTGATGGTACTGAGTGGTTAACCATTTGAGCAGTACATCGGTTATATCATGTTATAAAACGAATAGGAGTGTGTGCTGCAATATGTTTGGTTAGAAAACGTGATTAAATGGGATTCGAAAGCCATGAAAGCTCATGGACTACTTCTCTTGAAAAGCCTAGTGATTAAAGAGTTCGCACGTCGCGCCGAAGACCCGGGTTCGATTCCCGACATGGGACCAATGTGTGAAGCCCATTTCTGGTGTCCCCCGCCGTGATATTGCTGGAATATTGCTAAAAGCGGCGTAAAACCATACTCACTCACTCTCTCAATAAGTATCTTATTTTTCTCAATCCCAATTAGCAAAACGAGCCTTTCGGTTTGGCACAGCTCTTTGTGTAGCGGCACTAAGATCTGATTTTAATGAGATTGCCATATGACAAAAATGGGTGCCTCTTATCAAACTTTACCTTGGTAAAGAGTAGACTTTTTTAATACTTCCTAAACACCGAACTGTCTCATCAACAAACCATGGATCTTCTTTTCTCTCTGTACCCACCGAGCACAGAGTCAGGGAAGCAACACCTGTCTACCGACGGAAGGATACCTTACCTCATTGATTCTTTTCCTGACGCCGCCGGAACTGTTCTGGAACACTTCCCAGTAGCTGTAGCAGTACTGGATGCCGTCATTCAGTATGGCCCTCCTCAGGTTGATGTTGTCCATCCCCAGGCTGCAGGCACTGGAGTTCATGTCCATCATCATCCGCAGGATGGTCAGGTTGGCCTTGGAGTCTACGAAGTCCGCCATGTCGTACTCCTCCAACCCCTGCAGTCAATGAGTGAGTGAGTGAGTGAATGAGTGAGTGGGTGGATGGGTGGGTGTTTGGAGTGAGTGAGTGAGTGGTGAGTGAGTGGAAGGGTGAGTGAGTGAGTGAGTGAGTGAGTGAGTGGAAGAGTGTGCGAGTGAGTGAGTGGAAGGTTGGGTGAGTGAGTGAGTGAGTGAGTGAGTGAGTGAGTGGATGAGTGAGAAGGCGGTTTGGTGGGTTCATTGGACAGGTGAGTGGGCGTGTTGGTGAGTTTCTTAGGGAGTGTTTGGGTGAGTGAATGGGTGAGAGAGTGTGTTGGTGGGTGAGTGGGTGTACGGGTGGATGGTTGGTGGTGGTTTCATCGCTAATTTGCCTTTTATGCCCAATGGAATCTGTTTCGAGGGATATTCGAAACTGCTGATTCTCTGACGTTTTACAAAGCAAGAACACAACTCTCCTGGCATTAAGTGCGTATCAATTACTTTTATTGTCACGGGGAAACGAATACAATATTCCTTAGGCGTGTTTGAAATAATAACACCAGTATCACCTGTCTCATTTTTCAGTTTATTTCAAGTTCTTCGTGCTTTCTTGACATTAGTGTTTTTTTTCAAAAATGACGTCATTTACAGTGTATATCAGCTTACCATGAGACTGGAATCTAATAAACATGTCAAAATTGAGACCTTATAAAATTAAGCCTTAAGTCATAAATAGGCATACTTGTATTTGTGTATTACTTGCAAAAATACACGCGAAACATCTGTTTCTTTCCGAAACACTGCTGACGACGATATACACACTAGGTGTTACATATGATGTTTGTTTAAACTGTATAAATAATATCGTTATGCCCAAATATGTTTGACAAATTTGTTTATAAATATAACTTTGTGTTCATGACTTACTTGTGTATATATCAACTCGTTCTCGTCGCTTAAAGGCAGAAATAAATGCCGATAATTTTAACTCGCTCAGTCACATAGGACGTATGTTTGTTGTTCCCCGCCGCAGCAATATTCCAGCTATTTGAAGGAGGCATGTAAATAATTTAGACTGGACCAGTCAGTCCAGTGATTGAAAATATAACCATTACGTCACCTGACGACCACCATAGGTTGCTAGGGACCATTCTAACCCGGAATCCACACGTAGTGTCTATATGCTCTTAGCTCTGTTTGTGGTAAATAGCTTTAGGTTTACAAAGAAAACTGTTTTAGCGGGGTAAACAGTTTCTTACTATTTAATCTAATAAAATCTGAGATTAGTTTCAATTATATACCATATTGGCAACCTATTATTAGCGACCTATGAAGTTGAGATGAGTTGAAATGGGGTTTAACGTCGCGTTCAAGATTGTTGTATTACCGTGCTGGCCCACGAAGATACCATGCAGCAGTTATAACATGAATACCCTACTGGGACACTTTATACTGACTCCAGTCCTGGTTTTATTTCTTTAATGCTGAGTGTCAGGCAGGGTAACAACAAGTACCATCATTTAACGTCTTTCGATATGACGCGACCAGGGGATTCACTCTCTGAGCAGACGCTCTATCCACTAGACCACGGAGGCGATCTTTAACCTATGACACATCTCAGTTTTGATAATATATCTATAACACTAGTCAGCCCATACGTACCATGTTCACAAGCAGCCATTTGTTCGGTGAGGAAAACATGCTCAGCGTCAGCCCCTGAAATATAACATGACATCTCCTATGAATAAATGTTGAAATGCGAACATGTAATAAACAACCGCATTATAGTCACGAGTATCAGAAAACACTTTCTAATATGAACATATTATACGTCTGAAATATTAACCAAAGAGCTGTCAAATTAAAGTTGTTGTTTCATGATTAACGTCCTTAGCCAGGCCAGGATCCGCAGAACACGGGTTCGAATCGCAAATTTGTCTCAATTACGATCTGTCAGCAATCGCGATTATTACAATATTACAGCAATGAATCACGGCGTCATCTTGTCAGCAATATTACTGTTATATCACGACAGCCTTCAGTCAGTAGTATATAGTACAGCTATATCACGACAACCTCCAGTCAGTATCATTAATCCCCGTGAAGATCCGGGGTAGAATAGGTCTTCAGCAACCCATGCTTGCCGTAAAAGGCGACTGTGCTTGTCGTAAGAGGCGACTAACGGGATCGGGTGGTCAGGCTCGCTGACTTGGTTGATGCATGTCATCATATCCCAATCGCGCATATCGATGCTCATGAAGTCAATCACTTGGCTGTCTGGTCCAGAATAGATTATTTACAGACCGCCGTCATATAGCTTTTATAATGCCGGGTGCGGCGTTAAACAACAACAAACAAACAAACAGCAACAATACGGCTATGCCGCGACAGCCTCCAGTCAGTGATCTACATTACGAACAACACGTGGTGCAAGGAGAGCTATCATAACGGGAGTCATAGAGGTAAACACTCGGAGTTCTCCAGATAGCAGAACAACAAAAACCGGTCTTTCCTGAACAGAAATATATTTTAATGTGGCTCATGCAGTCACTTCATGTAAATGTATACGGATTTCTCATCAGTGACAATGCAATGCTTTAAATCATGTTTGTATTGACACTGTTGTAATCCGTTTTTGTAGTGCGATATTGTCGAGCATTATGCAACATAACGTATTGTGTATGGCTTATGTGCATGTAGGTGAATTTCATTAATACATTATGTATTGAATGATCGCCGTATAATACGTTACTATTGCCGTATTAAGCAGCTCTCACACTTTGCCGGTTAGGTTAGGACTCGGGAAGAGACTACATATATATACAAGTAGCATACGAGTACACTACGAGTGTGTTACGAGGCCCATAGGAGTTCAATGGGAGTCCAAAAGGAGTCCAAAAGGAGCCCAAAAGAAGTCTAATAGGAGTCTATTAAGAGTTTCATACGAGCATAACGATCTCGAAACGAGCTGTACGAGTTCGGTACGACTTTGGTACGACTTTGGTACGAGGTGGCTACGAGGTGGCTAGGAGCTGCTAAATGATTCGGCGGGAATTTGTCACATGATTTAACATGGAGGCTCGTACAGCTCGTATTAGACTCGGCCAAATCGACAATGAATTTTGCAGACGATCCTCATACGAGTTCTGTACGAGCATCACGAGGTCGCTACGAGGGTGCTACGAGTAGGGCGAGTGTGTTACGAGTTTGTTACGCGTTTGTTAGGAGTTGGCTGGCGGCCCGAGTGTTTTGAGGTTCCAAAACTCTCGTAGATCAGTACGAGGTATCCCGAGTTACCCCGAGTTTAGTACGACCTCGCTACTTGCTCCATACGAGTACCCCCGAGTCAGCTCGGGTCAGTACTCGGCAAAGTGTGAGAGCCCTTTCAATAGCATTTGCTACTCAAAAGATGTTAAGGAACACCCGGATCTGTTATATTAGTTACTCGGCCACAATGATTGTATATCAAACTGTGCTAGGAAATTGGAAATTTACCAAAACATCACTGATCAATAAATATCATGTTATTTACATGTAAGGTAAGATATATGACATATCTATCGCCAGTGCCTGATGGAGAAAGACGTATCCCATTAGTGAAACCAACGAGCACTATTTCAACGACCTGAATAAAATAGCTCTCTATCTGTATTGTTCTGACCTGAAGTAGATCTATATCTGTATTGTTCTGACCTGAAGTAGCTCTCTATCTGTATTATTCTGACCTGAAGTAGCTCTCTGTCCGTATTGTTCTGACCTGAAGTAGCTCTCTGTCCGTATTGTTCTTACCTGAAGTAGCTCTCTGTCCGTATTGTCCTGACCTGAAGCAGTTCTCTGTCCGTATTATTCTGACCTGAAGCAGTTCTCTGTCCGTATTATTCTGACCTGAAGTAGCTCTCTATCTGTTTTGTTCTGACCTGAAGTAGCTCTCTGTCCGTAATATTCTCACCTGGCGTAGCTTTCTGTCCGTATTGTTCTGACCTGAAGCAGTTCTCTGTCCGTATTATTCTGACCTGAAGTAGCTCTCTCTCCGTATTGTTCTGACCTGAAGTAGCACTCTGTCCGTATTGTTCTGACCTGAAGTAGCTCTCTGTCCGTAATATTCTCACCTGGCGTAGCTTTCTGTCCGTATTGTTCTGACCTGAAGCAGTTCTCTGTCCGTATTCTTCTGACCTGAAGTAGCTCTCTGTCCGTATTGTTCTGACCTGAAGTAGCTCTCTGTCCGTATTGTTCTGACCTGAAGTAGCTCTCTGTCCGTATTGTTCTGACCTGAAGCAGTTCTCTGTCCGTAATGTTCTCACCTGGCGCAGCATTCTCTGTCCGTATTGTTCTGACCTGAAGTAGCTCTCTGTCCGTAATGTTCTCACCTGGCGCAGCATTCTCTGTCCGTATTGTCCTGACCTGAAGTAGCTCTCTGTCCGTAATATTCTCACCTGGCGTAGCATTCTCTGTCCGTAATATTCTCACCTGGCGTAACATTTTCTGTCCGTAATATTCTCACCTGGCGTAGCATTCTCTGTCCGTATTGTTCTCGCCTGGCGTAGCATTCTCTGTCCTTATTGTTCTCACCTGGCGTAGCATTCTCTGTCCTTATTGTTCTCACCTGGCGTAGCATTCTCTGTCCGTATTGTTCTCACCTGGCGTAGAACTCTGTCCGTATTGTTCTCACCTGGCGTAGCATTCTCTGTCCGTATTGTTCTCACCTGGCGTAGAACTCTGTCCGTATTGTTCTCACCTGGCGTAGAACTCTGTCCGTATTGTTCTCACCTGGCGTAGAACTCTGTCCGTATTGTTCTCACCTGGCGTAGAACTCTGTCCGTATTGTTCTCACCTGGCGTAGAACTCTGTCCGTATTGTTCTTGGAACAGATGACGATGAAGGTGAAGGTGTACGAGTCTCTCATCTTCTTCAGCTCCTGTCGCAGCTCCAAATCCGACTCAGCCGATGTTGGGTCCGTCACCCTGAACGACCGAACTTCCACCTCCCACTTCCTCATAACCCTCTCCAGAATTACCGCACCTGCACCGACAGTTGGAAATAAAGAAATCAAAATAAAAAAAATAATCAGTCCAAATTACTACAGTAACTATAGTATAACCGAAATAGGTTCCACTGGGCGTGAAAGGAATAACCCTGGTCCAAATTATATGAATGGATCACTGAACATTAGTGATGACACCAGGTGTTCGCGAAAAGGGTAAGCATGGACCAGCACCCGACACACACACAATTTGCATTAAAAAGTAAGTGATTGTTGCCTGGCGCCGCACAGGAGTACCCATGCCATACAGCGACGGCCTGTGAACAGGCTCATCAGGAGATGACACATGCGCCCGGTCTTGAAATAAAGTTTGGCTACTTACACCCCACTTTTGGTTCATTGCCATTGGATACCTTCAGTTCAGTGAAGAAAAAATAATGCTGATCATTATTTTTCAATATCCAAAATCATCAAAAGGCACCAGTTCACCACTAGACTGATCTGTATAACAAGTTTCTTCTAGAAATATTCAACGGTTTTGGAGATCTGCTCCCGAAATGAGCACTTCCCTTATCTTCAGTTACGTCCATCATGTCGTCATTAAAACATAATAACTTTGAAAAAATCTCAAATCATCAAACGGCACAAGTTCATCACTATGACCGATCTGTATAGCAAGTTTCATCAAGAAATATTCAACGGTTTTGGAGTTCGGCTCCGGAAACGGAAAACGGATTTTCAAACCGGGGGAACAACAAACCATACAATCAAGTGATGGACCAGAAAATAGCGCTTATACTACCTTTTTTGAAACTAAAAATGATATGTTCATTTTCGATTACATCTTCGATCCCTGTTTCTGCAAAAATCAATGCGTGTGAAGACTTTTGTAAAAACTTCTTAATAGGTGGTGCTGTGACACTCGTACATGTTGTTGTGCCGATCTACACGGCTGAAAAAAATGCTGTAGGGCGTTAAGAAAGTTTCACTCCAAAACATGCAGCTTTAACAAAGATCAACAGCGTCACTACTGATGTAGTCCCGAAGCAACTTCCGCAACATCTACACACATGTATGAGATAACATGTGAAGTCTTTAAAAGGTATTTGGAAGTTTAAAGATGATAAACACATAACGCTTTTTGATGGAGAACAACTTCTTTTATTCTTTGTAACGACGTGACTATTCGCCTGTTGAGGGGGCAAGAAGTATCTCTGAAACGTCGTCACAAATAACATAAGAAGTGTCATGGTTTCATTAGATAACGTAAAAACAATATTCTGTCATTTATATCGCTCGGGGATCATGTCTTCTAAACCTCAGCAGTCTGACCTTAATTTGTTCATTCATTAATCCCAATATATGCACACTCAATATATCCATCGTTCAATAAATTAACATAGTCAAAATAATGTATTGATTATTCCTCAAGCCTATGCAATGTATTCATGATTAATCTATTCACCTAATCATGTTCACAAATAAAAAAAACAAATATTCAATGGGGACAACGTACAATAGGATTTTTTATAAATATACAAATTGACGTCCTACCTTCGTATGAGTCGTGAATGACGGTGATCTTGTCAAAGGCGTAGTAGTCGGCGAGGTCGAGCACGGCCCTTGAGAAGACCCTGGCGTCGTGGAAGAACTGGTACATGAACTTGGTGTCTGCCTGGTCCTCGGGGGTCAAGGACATGACGTAGTAGTTGATCTTCAATTGTTTCGTCACGGCGACGTACACGCTGTTGTAGTCGCCCATGATGGCGTCAACGGACGTGTCCAGCAGTTCTTGGTGAGCTTCAATGACGAACAGATACATAAGTGTAGTTTACATCTAATCATTCATAAGATGCGTTTAACGGTGTAAACTCATGTAATAAGAGTAATCCTTATTTGATGGATTGATATACGTTATCAAATTACGGTTTGAGTGATTTGGGTTTATTGTCTTTTTCAAGTATTTCAGTTAAATCACGTTGTGTCAGCCTAATAAGAGAGAAAGCCTAACGTTGTCAGGTCTTAGACGTTTATTAATTTGGTGAAACCTACGAGCATGTGTATGGTGCTTATAAACAAAAAACACATATCACGGCGAATCTGGGATTCGAACCCGCGATCATGGGTGTTTGGGGCGCTGAAGGGACGCAACTCTGCATTGCAAATTGCGGCGCCTTTGGTGACTGCGCCACACGTGCCCCCATTCACTATTAAATACGAAATTTCTATTCTATGTGGTTTCATGTTCCCCTCTATAGCCACAGTATGAGATTCCGCGATGCTACCGCTTTCTTACCTTACTCAGGGTCAATATACAAAACATACCAGAGATGTATCTGGGGGTTTGACGAATAATTTAAAAGCTGAATTGTTCACTATTTATTAACTGCTGCGTGATTCATAGACGAAAAGTGTGTTATGCTGATTTATTCATAATATTATATACCATCATATACGACACACAATATGTTCCAGAGCACACGGGGTTTTCATATGACTGTAGTTCATCTGCCGTTGCTTGACAGACTAAAAGAAGTTAAAGGACGCCAATTTTTCATATGACTATAGTTAATCTGTCATGGCCAGTCATATGAAAAAATCGGGTGTTCTTTAACTTCTTTTGAGTAGTATAGTTTGAGATATGTCATTGACCAGACATAGTCATTTATTGCTGTAGCGTAAGATGTATAACCGCACATGTATGTCGGTATCACAAATGTATTGAAATGATGTTATAAATATATACATAGTCTGGGTGCCCCAGTCGTCTAAGGCGCCGCGATTCACTGTGAAGAGTTGCGTCCCTTGAGTACGCCAGAAACCTATGATTGTGGGTTCGAATCCCGGTTCGCCCCGATTATGTTTCTAGGTTTGTCAGCACCATACCCTTTCTCGTGGGTTTCACCGAAGTGGTAAACGTCTGAGACCAGCATCACTTCGGGCTTCCCTCCCACATTAAGCTGACACGCCGTGATATAACTGGAATACTGTTAAAAGCGGAGTTAAACTCACTCACTCACTCACTCACTCACTATTTGCCCATCCGCCATTGTCACAGCGTTTCAGTTCATGATGATCACACGGACAACTTAATTGTTGCACTTTAATGTCTAACATTCCAGATTATAAGTCCGACTGGGTTTGAGGTAGTACGCAAAACAGGGGTCACACTTCATTACCTGCCAAACTTATCAACATAGTCTTGAGTGAGGGAAGTATATTTAACCCCGCTGTGAACGCTATTTTCTGTAAACTTCCCACGTGTCAGCTTATTTGGGAAAGGAAGCCCGAACTATCCCAGGCATTAGACGTTTACTCATAGGCGGAACCAGAGGTGGGATTCAGGGAGTCCGGACCCCCCTCCCTTTTTCAAGACCATGGTATTTTGTAGGCAGTAAAATTATCCGACATAGGATTTTGGATATTTTGGACCCCTCCCTTTTAAAAATGCTAGTTCCGCTCTTTTTACGGTGAAACACAAGAGCATGGGAATGGTATGGAATCCTAAAAGGAACATTTTCGCGTTATCGCCCTTACAAAAACAAGGAAAAAGTGTCTAACTAAAGCTGCGACAATGCGACAACGCGACAACGGAACAAGTGGTATTTGGTATTCGATTATTAACACACCACCCCCATATAGCTAGAATACTGTATTGTTGACAGCGGCGTAAATCTACATTCATTCACACATAACTAATCTCACCTTTCTTGATGTTCTTGTAGGTGTAGTGTCTGTAGTTGGTGAGGTTGTGGTGGGTCATTTGGAACCCCTCCGGCGCGTCCACGAGGTCGAAGATGTTGGTATCAACAGACGAATCAATAATACCTGTAATATTTCAATAATATCTGTAATAGATCAATAATACCTTAACTAGATCAATAATACCTGAAATAGATCAATAATACCTGTAAACGATCAATAATACCTTAACTAGATCAATAATACCTGAAATAGATAGATGACAACTGTAATAGATCAATAATACCTTAACTAGATTAAAAAACCCAACCTGAAATAGATCAATAATACCTGTAATAGATCAATGATACCTGAAATATATCAATAATACCTGAACCAGATCAATAATACCTGAAATAGATCAATAATACCTGTAAAAGATCAATAATACCTGAAATATATCAATAATTTCTGAAATAGATAGATGGCAACTGTAATAGATCAATAATACCTGAACAAGATTAAAAAACCCAACCTGAAATAGATCAATAATACCCGTAATAGATCAATAATACGTGAAATATATCAATAATACCTGAACCAGATCAATAATACCTGAAATAGATCAATAATACCTGTAATAGATCAATAATACCTGAAATATATCAATAATTTCTGAAAAAGATGACAACTGTAATAGATCAATAATACCTGTAATAGATCAATATTACATGTAATAGATCAATAATACATGGGATCAATCGATGATACCCGTAATGAATCAATAACATATGTAATAGATCAATAATACATGCAATAGATAAATAACGTATGTAACAGGTCAATAACACATGTGGATCAATGCGTTTAGGTTTTATTTCCCTCGTGGGTAAGATTAGAAAGTCCAACTCATTTATATTCATTCATAAATCCTTTAACGTTTAACTTTGTGTTTGTTTGTTATTCAATTACCATATTCAAATCGAATGAAACCTCCAGGGAACGATCGCTTCAAGTATTACTCTATGTGGAGATATGATCGGTTAACATGTGTGTTCTCGCATCTTCGAAAACATTACCCTCCGTCATGTTTTAGCTATGTTCTCAGGTAAACTGTGCTTCAGGAAATATGAGTGATTATGCGAGGTTTTAAGCTATATGTAATATTTCAGCAATAGCATGGCGGGATGGTGGTGTGGGGGTTGGGGGGTGGGGGGAGGGGCTGGGGGGTGGGTACCAGAAGTAGGCTTCATACATTGCCATTGTGGGACATCGAACCCGGTCCTTCGGCGCGACGAGCGAACGCTTGAACTACTAGGCTACCCCACCTTAGGATATAGGAAATTAAATAACTTTATAATGGCAGTGACACTGGTTTGAGAAGTATTTCTTCCAACAGCTCAATACCACAGGCTTTCATTAGAAAACTAAACACTTATAGATGAAACAACATATTTGCATTTATCTGTTAATTTTACCACAGAATTAAGACAAACAATACTTCACAAATATCCTTTATATCAAGTAAATGTGTTATTACCGGTTGGCACCACCACCCTATGTATCAAAAACCACCACCCTTGTACCAACACCCACACCCCATGTACGAACAAACCTCACCCCTATCCCTTGTAACAACAACCCAACCACCTGGTACCAACAACCCCACCCACTGTACCAACAACCGCACCCCTTGTACCAACAACCCCACCCACTGTACCAACAACCCCACCCCTTCTACCAACATACCCACCCTAACAACCCCACCCATTGTACTAACAACCCGAACCCCTTGTACCAACAGCCCCACCCTAACAACCCCACCCATTGTACTAACAACCCGAACCCCTTGTACCAACAACCCCACCCTAACAACCCCACCCCTTGTGCCAACAACCCCACCCTAACAACCCCCACCCCTTGTACCAACAAACCCACCCTAACAACCCCCACCCCTTGTACCAACAAACCCACCCTAACAACCCCCACCCCTTGTACCAACAAACCCACCCTAACAACCCCATCCCTTGTACCAACAACCCTAGCCCCTGGTACCAACAACACCACCCTAACAACCCCCACGCCTTGTACCAATAACCCCGCCCCTTGTACCAACAACCCCATCCCTTGTCCCAACAAACCCACCCCAACAACCCCACCCCTTGTACAAACAACCCCATCCAAACAACCCCCACCCGTGAACCAACAGCCCCACCTTAACAACCCCCACCCCATGTACCAACAACCCACCCTAACAACCCCTACCCCTTGTACCAACAACCCCGCCCCTTGTACTAACAACCCCACCCCTTGTACCAACAACCTCAACCCAACAACCCCCACCCTTGTACCAACAATCACACTCTAACAACCACCACCCCTTGTACGTACAACTCCCACATAAACATCATGTTGACGATCATCCTCCAGCAGTGCCGTTATCTTAACGATGTCACGTTGTTGGCGCGTGATATCAGTGACCATGTCCTTACAGAGAACAACCACCAGCTCCAGTAAGCGGTGCATTATACGACGGTGGGAGAAATTATGGTATTCAATAATACCAAGCAAACATGTCCGAGCCGTGGTTGTTCAAACACAGGTCCAGCGCCAGATGTTGTCGTGATTGGCCTGCATGGAGCCGCGGGATCTCTCGGAGAAGAATGCAAATGGATGGTATAGATTATTTAAACGATTTTGTCAACCTCTATCACAAATGTTTACAATCGTTCAGGAAACTGAATTCGAAATTGTAACACTTTCATAAACATGTATACTATGCCAAAAAGGTAGGGTATAGTGGAAATCATCAACATCTATCTGATCTATATGGTATTGGCAAATGGAAATGATATGATCCTATCTGCTGGGTAGTAGGCGACCAGATCTAATGGTTCGTGTGATGAGATGATGGCGCACTTGATCGTTAGTGAGGTCGGGGTCAAATTCAAAATTTGCATTTTGCAGTCAACGTCACTAATATCCCGTAGAACTGTTGGCCAGACAGATGCGTCGAGGCATGCTTCTGATGAGTTGACCAATGTCAGCTTGATATTTTTCCACTCATTAGTAAGAGCAACACCGAGTTCATTGAGAGTGGTGGGTGTGGACTTTGACGTATACGTACACGTCTGCCAATGACGTCCAAGACGTGCTCAATTGGGGACAGGTCAGGACTCGGATGTTTTCATGGCATGACATGGATGTGTTGCTGTGGGAGGAATTTGGCCACAATCTGGCACGATAGGCACGTGAATTGTCATCTTGAAATATGACGCGTTGCCCAACAAACTGTGCAAATGGCACCATGAGTGATGCAATAATGTCCCGATAGTATTGACCTGTGACTCTGTCATGGACAATATTGAGCGCAGTTCGGCCAGTCATTGTGATTCAACACCATACCATTATGGACACAACCCCAAAACGATCACGTCATACGACGTTAACGCCCATAAAACGCTCCCCAAACTCGATTTCTTCGGCCATGGAAGTCGAGAGTGAACCTCGATTCGTCAGAAAAGATGACCTTAGTCCACGTCTATTATCCCAATTTGACATTCCCTGCACAACTGACGCCTCTGATTCAAGTGATGAAGGTAAGTTGCGGGATGACACGTGGACGTCGTGCAGGCAAATGTCATCTTTCCAAACGATTTCGCACCGGCTTGGCATGTTCTCTGACACAGGCCTGTTGCAATCCGAGTTATTAATGTCATCCTTCTGACTAATCTGTGCTGGCCTGGAGTTGCCCTTTGGCGTCCAGAGTGGTGTCGATCATCGACGTCATGTATAAGGTGAGAAACATGCAGCGTTTGGACAACAACACGCCTTCCCACCTAAAACATGGCTATGGCACGTAAACGTTCAGCACGATGCAAACATCCCCTTATCGATGATGTTGCTTCCTTAATGATTAAATGTGTTTAATAAAGTGTCTATGAGTGTTTGGTTCCAAGAAAACAATATGGTCTTCTCCCAACCGAGTCAGAGTGACAATGGAAAATCGTGCTTCATGACATTGACAACATTAAGTCGTAGACGTACTGACTCTTAAAGAAAAGTCTACTGCAAAAAGAGAAATCACTACAAATCCTGCTGTAGGAAATATAAATTTGACTTGTGTAAAGCTAGGCTAAAAAACTGGGTCATACTATCCATTCTCCCTCTAAGTTTTGGAAACAAATAAGTTCATTTAAAAGCAGACAAATAGAAAAGATAGTATCTCAAAGGCTGAGTGGCTAATACATTTTATGAAAGTTATTTTCAAATGACACTGTTATACACAGTGATGTGTGTGACGATATTATGAACATATCTTAGAATCACACATATCACAGGTTGAAATTATGACGCCATAATGCATCTAAAAAGGAAAAGCTGCTGGTTGAAATGATAAAATGTTCCAAATTTGGAGATGATGCCTTTTCTTCAAAAATGTTTCTATGGGATGTTTGACAGTGGTATATTCCAACACACAAAAAGGAGTTTTTAACAACCCAGACAATTATAGGGGAATATCCTTAATGAGTATTCTTGGAAAGAGTTTTACATCAGTACTTAATTCCAAGATAACGATTTGGGCTAACATGGGAGATAAGATTCCCGAAACGTAAACTGGTTTTAGAAAACAATACACAAAGTCATATCATATATTCACATTATATGCAATAATCCAATAATGTCTATAACGTCGTAAACACAAAGTGTATGTAACCTTTGTCGAATTTATTTAAGCTTTTGACTCCGTTGATCGTTATAAACTCTGGTGCTGTTTAAGAACAACTGGTCTTCAGGGGCAAATGCACTCTTATGTTATAAGCTACGTCTTCAAATATCAAATCATGTGTACGATGTGGTGACGATGTAACCGATTTCTTTGACTTTCCTGTTGGCTTACGACAAGGATGAATCTTCAGCCCGATATTGTTCTCATTTTCTATCAGTGAATCATATTATGAAATTATGACTAAGGGTAAATATGGTATTCGAATGTCCCCAAATGTAATAGAAATGTTGATGCTTCATTTTGCCGATGATGTCATTTTCGTATCTGATTCTGTTGTTGCTTCATTTTGCCGATGATGTCATTTTCGTATCTGATTCTGTTGTTAAACTACAAAAACAACTTAACATTTAAGAATGTT